CCCGCCCCCCACATAAAGAAACCGGTAAACGCATTTCACGCCATAAGATAACAGTTGCAATATCTACAACGATAACTTGTATTCCAAATTTACATCATCCAACAAAAACGCGAAGTTGATAATTTACGGCAGCACAAAAGGAGATTTTTCTAAACGTATTGCTCTGATTCACAAAGGAAACTCCGCTAGGCCGAAATGTAGAAAGTCTCATGATCATACACAACAAAAACACAAAGAGACAAACAAATCCAAAGAAATATTACACCTAAAATCGAGAAATTGACAACGTTCCTAAAATACAATATTTATGGAGAAGGGAGAAAGGAGGTTGAGGGAGGAAAGGAAGGGGAGATGGGAGGAGGAAGGAGTGAGGGGAGAGAGGGAGGGAGGAGGAAGGAGTGAGGGGAGAGAGGGAGGGAGAAGGAGGGATGAGTAGGGAGTAAGGGGTGAGGAAGAGAAGTAGAAGGAAGGGGAGGAGGGTTGAGAAGGGAGGGAGGGGGTGTAGGGAAGGGAGGGGGGAAGACAGGTCTGGATGTGGGTCTTCAGACGTGACCTAAGAACTGCCGAGAAGCTGAGAACCACGCCTGGAGAAGGTCATAGGAGGAAGAGGAGGAGGAGGAGGGGGAGGAGGAGGAGAAGGAGGAGGAGGATGAGGAGGAGGAGTCTCTTGAATCCTTCAAATTCTTCTGTTTCGGTGGAGAAATTTGATCCTCTTCGGATGTTTTGGTCATCGTCAGACATTGGCGGACAAGTTAAATTGTAACTGTATTGTGTTTTACTGCGTTCGAGTGTACTGAGCGGCATCATATTGAGTATAATTAATATTTAGCTTCAATGTTTTGAGAGTAACTGTATTTAGCATAACTGTATTGAGGGTAGCTGTATTTAGCATCACAGTATTGAGTGTAACTGTATTTAGTGTCATATATTGAGTGTAACTGTATTGGGTGTATTGGATGAACTAGTTGTAACTGTGTTGGATATATTGAGTGTCGCTGAATTGGGTGTATTGGGTATCTATGTATTGGGCATATTAAATGTCACTGTATTGAGCGCCGTTGTATTGAGTGTTTTGAATGTATTAGATGTCACTGTGTTGAGTGTATTGAGCGTCTCTGTATTGAGGGTATTGAGTGTCGCTGTAATGAGGGTATTGAGTGTCGCTGTAATGAGGATATTGAGTGTCGCTGTAATGAGGGTATTGAGTGTCGCTGTAATGAGGATATTGAGTGTCGCTGTAATGAGGGTATTGAGTGTCGCTGTAATGAGG